TCAACTCTTTATATTACAACGTCGTGGAATCATCATAGTCATCACCAACAGAAGCAACAAACAAGACACATTGATTCTTGTCAATAGATGTAGGAAAAGCTTGTTGACAAAATCAACACCCTCTTATCATGTATGAACAGTCTAATAATAAGGCCTACAAGGAACATTACCTAACATGATAACAAGCCATATATGACACAACGCATAGCCAATTGATACTGAATGGGAAAGAATTAAATCACTTCCCACTTTAGCTGCAATCACTACTCACTCACTTCTTGCCCATGTCTATCGGCCTACAGCATCAGAAGAATAGAGCAATATGCACAATTGGGCAATCCCCATCCAAACATTCATAGTAATATACGATGATGATCATGTATCTAGTAAACCCAAAGATTGCACGCCCCAAAAAGGGAACAACTCCTGGGAACTGATTCAATGAATTTAGTATAGTTCCTCAGGATACAAATCAATACACGCAGAATCAGAGCATTCCTTACGCCAACAACAATCTAATTGAGAACCAAATCAAAGACTCACATTCCCTTCACATAGCAATAACAAGAAATTAAAGTACCTAGGATATACTTAACCAAGGAGGTAAAGACCTCTACAGGTGAGAACTATGAAACACTGGAGGAAGGAAATAAGCGAGGATGATAACATGGAATCCTACCATGTCGTCGATGGCAGCCTCAACATCTCAAAATGTCTTATACCAACCAAAGATCTACAAGATTCACTGGCAGTACCTTTTGAAATCCCATCGCATCTTCAGCAGATATAGAAAAAACCTAAATTTTTTTAACCCACTTCGTTTTTTTTATTTGGGAAAACCCAAAGAGAAGCCAAATATGAAAAGCAATTCTAGGATACAAAAACCAACATGGGAGGCATAATTTTGCCAGATAGCTCAAACTCAGTACTACAAAGCTGTAGTAATTAAATCAAATATGAGTATTGGCACAAATAGAATAGAGCCAGTGCAACAGATGTGAGAATCCGATATAACAACCATCCTTCATTATACATTAATCTTTAACAACAGACAAAACATTACGCTGGGAAAAGAATCTCTTTTCAATAAATGGTCCTGGAAAGATGGATAACACCTGTACGAAGGCCAAAACGGACCCACCACTTTCACGACTCACAAAAATCAACTCCGCTGGTACAGACTTCAACCCTAAGTATGAAACTATTAGATTTAGAGAAAAGTTGGACAACACTCTCCTAGACATCGGCTAGGGCAGAGTTTATGGAAGACAGTCCCCAGATGCAATACAGCAGCAACAAATAAATAAATGTGCATGATCAACTACAAAGTTCTGCACAGCCAAGAAATAGTCCATGAAATAACAAACCTACAATCCATGGGAGAAAATTTCTGCATCCTAATTACATTTGATAAGGGACTGTACCAAAATATATTAGAATCACAAGTCGCACAGAAAATCAATAACGCTATTAAAAAGTGGGCAAGGGACTTGAACAGAACTTTTCTAAAGAGCAGAAGAATGGCCAACAAAACATAGAAAAATGCCACACATCTCTAATCATAGGAAGAAAATCAAAAACCACAATGAGATATCACTTAATCCAGTGAGATGGCCTTTATCAACAAACGTCTCCAAACAATAAGATGCTGGTGTGGTTGGAAGAGACAGGAACACTCTACACTTGCGGTGGATGCAAACTAGTTCAACTCTGTGGATAGCAATATGGAATACCTTAAAGCGATACAGGTGAATCTACCATTTGATCTAGCAATCCCATATCCGTCTGGGCATCACCCAAATGATCCAATACACTCTACAAAAGAACCTGCACTCGAATATTTATAGCAGCACAATTCATAGTTGCAAGGCTGTGGACATAGCCCAAGTGTCATCAATCCCGAATGGATTAATAAAATGTGGTATAGTAATACATGGAGTTATATTCAGCTCTTAGAACATGGTGACATAGTACATCTTATATTTTCCTGGTTAAGTTGAACCCATACTATTAAGTGAGTTTCCAAGAAGGAAAAACAAGCACCACATATACTCACCAGCACATTGGTATTAACTGAACAGCACCTAAGTGGACACATAGGTACTACAGTAATAGGGTATTGGGCAGGGGGGAGGGGGGCGGGTACATACATATATAATGAGTGAGATGTGTGTACCTTCTGGGGGATGGTCATGCTGGAGACTCAGACTTGTGTTGGGGGGGAAATGGGCATTTATTGAAACCTTAAAATCTGTATACTCGTAATATGCCGAAATAAAATAAAAAAAAAAAGAATGTAATATTTGAGTAAAGAAAGGTCTAAGAAAATGAAGAAACCGAGTCATGTGTCTATCCGTCTGAAGAGCATTTCAGGCAGCCCTGGGACAGATGTGTCCCTGAGATGGTGAAAGAACAGCAAGTCTAGATGACTAGAGCAGGATAAATAAGGGGGAAAGTTATAGGAGATGAAATCAAAGATAAGGACACCAAGTGCCATAGAGTCTTAGAGATCATTTTAAAGAGTTTGGTGTTTATTCTCAATAAGATTAAAGCCACTGAAGGATTTTTGAGCAAAGTAGTAGCATTGTCTGCCTCAGATTTAATAGGATCATTCTGACTGCTCTGTTGATAGGAGGAAGATGGAATTAAGGACACCAGTGAAGAAATTTCTCTTATTTGTGGAAAAAGAGATAGACTTGGCACATGTGTGTGCTTTTTTTGTTTTTAATACTCATTTGGACCAGGATTTACTCATAATTCCTTATGAAATTAGGGTCATAAGGAACACTAGAGAAAAGAAACAACTGATCTTGAGCCAGCCAGCTCAAATTGGAAAACCTCTTCATTTGGGCTTCATCTTTTCTGTACTCATAAGTTGTTGACCATGAGACTATTTCTTCTCTTCCACATGCTGTCTTTCATACCCATAAGCATAACTATATAAACATCTATATATAACTCATTAAGACAGTACTAGTAAGCACTCTATAATTCTATGAAGCAAGGCAACTTAGCCCTTAAAATTGCATGCCAAATTTTTTAGGTTGTATATTTTTCTAAGGAAAGGGGCCACAATTATCATCAGATCCTTGAAGAATTGCTTCTAGCTAGCCCTGTTGCGGTTCTTACACATTTGTGCTGTAACTTTTTAGAGGTCTCATGTATGATATTTCTAATTTATATGAAGTGTTTGAAGAGAAACATTATTCATGAAGAGTCCCCCTAGAAAGGGTCATTTTGAATTTGAAATTTGAGTCTTAGGTCCTTTTTTCTGATGTTTTATTTTGAATCTGTTGGAAGAATTTAAGATACTATATTTCTTATTTTTGCTAGCTAGGGAAAAAAATTAAGACATTTTAACTTTTGAAAACTAAATGAATTTCTTCACTTCTGTAATAAACGTGTTAATTGCAGTATGCATAATGCTTGAATTCTTAAGTGATAGATTTTTTTAAATTAGGAAATAAATGATGCTTAGCATTGAAAATGACCAAATGTGTAAAGGAAAAAATGCACATGTGTAAATATGCAAAAGATATGGGACACACAGAGACAAAGATACATCCACAAAAGTAGACCTGATATTTAACATATTATGTATACCTTAATGTATTCTAGATAGGTTTATTCTAAATCTCAGTATATATTTAGTCAACAGTTTATGTTTCACACAGATGCAAAATAGGATGGTGATTTTACTTTGTAACCTGAAACCTGCCAAGATGAGAGGAATAATATCTCAAGCGATGCTGATGTGTGCGAGTTCTCCAGAGAAAATTGAAATATTGGCTCCTCCTAATGGATCTGTTCCTGGAGACAGAATTACTTTTGATGCTTTCCCTGGTAAGTATTTATTAGTAATTACTTAAATAGCTTGGGGATCGGTTCTCAAAGTGATGTTTATAATGTTTAAAGATTAAAATCGTCCTGTGTATAAATCACAAGACTTACGTTAAATGATCATTATTAAATGCTATTGAGTGTTTTGAGATTGGCACTACGTTGAGTGCAGTCACATAACCACCCTCATCTCCATGAATGCATGTATTATACAAAACACCAGAAAGAGATTTTGCCTTAGGTGTAAAATGCTAATATTGATACTTGCACAGCAGAACGTGACATGGATAAAGAAAAATCAGTGTGCTGCGAAATCATTTACACTGTACATTGTCTCAGACTGCAGCACGAAAAACAAAGAGATAAAAAGTTCAGAAATGGGGGAAGATTTATAATTCTCAAAGTCCATCTAATAATACTTGCATATGCTTTTACTTGACTTCAGGATATAGAGAAAATCTCTAAATTGAAATTCAATTATTTTAATAATCTAAAAGGAAGTTTCATTTCATATTGCCTGTTTTCTCTAGCAAAATTGCTCCTGAGACAGCTGAAGCTTCATAATGCATGAAAAACCTTCTTCAAATAGGTCTTTGAAGTAGAAGAGAAAGGATGCTTGACAGATGTAGGATAAATATTTCTTTCATATAAAGAGAAGGACTTTATAAGAGGAAAAACAGAAATTAAAAGGCTACATTTAAAGGATTTTCATTTGACTAGACTAATAGAAAAGTGGAAATAAATTAAGGTAACAAGTAGAATTAGGTTCAAAAGTCAGGATTAATTTGGAGACATTTATAGAAATAACTGAATTTTAATGGAATAGCAAGGCTGATGTGATTATATAGTCATGTTTTTAAAAATTCTATATTAACTGTGTTTAATAAAAGTTTTAACATTGTAATAGTAAGATAGAAAGCATAGATAAAAGCATGGATTAATTTTTCTGAAACACAGTTCTAGCCTCCTAATGAAAAGTAGACTAATCTAAAAAACACAGGTGATTATTTTTTGTAAGTATCCATGACTTTGAATTCATGTATATGTCTTGAACCTCTGTAGATGAGCAATCATGGTGGTCTGTGCTCTAAGAACCTTTTTTGGGAAATTAGGTTTTAGGAAAATCCCAGTCTCAAAGATTTCTCAGAAACACCCTGATGGCTTTACATAGAACATATGATCACCATTCTGCTCCCACAATCTCAAACACTTCCCAAAACCTGCCCCTTTGGGATAAGCTGTCCATGTATCATTGACTAACCTGAAATTCTATTTGTAATTTTCATTCACTAAATTTGAATAGAATAGCAATAAAAGTGAACTTTTTCTTTTAAGTTTAAGAATGCATTAAGAAAAACAACAAAAATAAATCCTGATTTACCTTTTCAGATTAACATTTGCCTTCCTTTTTATTTAAATACTTAAAGATTTGGTACTTTGTTTAGGTTTACTTTTTTGACCTAAATTGTAGAGTTAAATATTTAGAACTAAAAGAAATCGTCTTGTTTAGCATACTATTTTACAAATTTGGAAAGTGAGGTCCAACAAAAGTTAGTTACTAACTTAATGTTATATGGAGTTAGTAGAAGGATCAAACCATAGATGTGAATGAATCTCTAGTACCATAACATTTTTATTTGTTGATTATTGCTTGCTATTAGTTAATATGAACTATTTAATTAATGAAGCCTTATAGTTCTTCTATTACTATGATGGCTTTCATTCCTCTATAGAATTAATAGGTAACTATTTCAGCATTTGAATCAGTTTTTATTATCTGAATGTTATTGCTGAATAAATTGAGAGTAGTTTATTTTTAGTTACCCACTCACGTAGGATTAGAGGCACTAATAGCCCAGCATGGATTTCTTGCCTTTACCATATTCTTGAATCTTTCAATCAGTTTTGCTGTTTGCAAGTTTATATTTATATTGTTCCAAAGTCAGGTATTTCTTCCAAATTCATAGTCTCCCCTTGTGCCTTAAGCACTTGAATATGTGGAGAAAGTACAAAAAGTATTTGTAAAGCGAAAAAAAAGAAAACCTAACTTTAAAATAGTCCATCGAGTTGTTTGAAGTATCGCTAGCATTATACTGTGCTTATCTGAACTAAACACTGTCAAATAATTGATAAAATTTGGGAAATGAGGTCTGTTAGTACTCATCTTCTGTGTGTTGCCACACCAGGTACTTCTTTTGTAGCAGTAAATCTGAAAAACAAAATAAATGAGTTAATACTACACTACAGGCCATTAGTCTTATTTTTTTTTTCCTAGAGAGAACCATGGTTTATCAGTGCTTCATTTTTCAGCATCTGTTTCATATTGTAAAACTTAAAGTGTCTGCTAGTACATTTTGATGTCTGCTGGATACATGCTCAGTGTATGGAGATTTACATATCATGTTGCATGTATTAAACATGGCGTAGAAATTGCAACTGAGGCTCAAATCTTTGAATTGCTCTTTAGCCTTGAAAAAACTTTTTTCAAGGCTATTTTTTCAAGGCTTAACTATTTTCTCCAACTATAAAGCCAAAAACTTCCATAAAGTTTAGAAGATAACATGTAATATTTTTATAACAATGGCTAAAGCGTTTCCCACCTAACCAATGCTTTATTTCATCTTAAATGTGTAAAAGTATACTTTTTAATATGTAAATATGGTAACTGGTCTCTAAAGCCCCAAGCAAAAATGACTGGAAAACAGTGTTGCAGCTAGGAGACAAAGGCAATGACAGTTCTTTTGGGGAATATACTATTCATGGTCTAATAGTAAATAAGAGTTTACATTCAGACTTTTTAGCTTCCAAGATCATGCTTATTTCTATTGATAATGAATCTTAATAATAGTTTTATTAATACTAATAAGGTTAATAACAATAAATTAATAGTTTATCACAAAGCATAGGTTTACCTTTTGAGTCCATTTATTCTTAAAAACCAAAATTGTCTATACTTGATTCATCTTTTTCAAAACCTAGCTCAATCAGATTTCTCTCCCGACTGTCCCACCAGAACTGCCCTGGTTGAGATCTCCAGTTACTCCCTGTGGCAACACGGCTACTTCTCAGTCCTTCTATTAACTACCTTGGCTCTCCACTCTCCTGGTTCTGTTGCTTCACCAGCTGCCCCTCTCATCTCCTTTTCTGATTCGTCCTTACCTCTTACCATTATGGTACCTCAGAACTTCATCCTTGGCCTCTTCCCCGTTTTTTGTTTTGTTTTTTCTCATTCATTTTTTTTGGCATTTTTTCCCAGTCACTTATCCAGCTGCCTAGTGGACTTCTTCACTTTCATGCCCCAAGGGGAAAGGATACATGTCCTAGTCTTTTCGCGCAGTATTCCGTTGTTCTGTAGTATTTTCCATTTCATTTGATAGGAACTCCATTCTCCCACTTGCTTAGCTCCTTTTCTCATACCCTGTGTCTCTCATTCAGAAAATCTTAGTGGCTCTACCTCCTAAACATAGAATCATTATCATCTGCACCACTACCACCCCAGTCCTAATGCCAACATCTGTTATCTGGATGATTGCAAAAGGCTTCTAACTCATCTTCCTGCCTTTGCTCTCTTCCCACTTTCACCTCTTGTCATCTCTAGCAGCTGGAGTGATGTAGATCAGATTATATTGCTGTGCCCAGACTATTCAGAAGCTTTCCGTCTCGCCTAGAGGACACGTCCAGGTCCTTGCAATAGTCTCGTTAGAACTCCAGCCTTTCCTTGCTCACTTCGGTGGAGCCGCTAGTTCTTCCCCACATATTTGCATGGCTTTCTACCTCACACTATTAAATCTTTCAGACGTCACCTTCTTTGTTTTATTTTTTTCCAAAGCACTTATCTCCACCAAATATACTGTACATTATTTATTGTCTGCCCACATGGAAATGTAAACATCATGAAATCAGCATTTTTCTTTTTTTTAATTATTCACTGCTTCATTCCTAGCATCTAGAACAATGCCTGACATAAATCAGTAGCTCATTGAATTGGTCAGTGAATAAATAGAAAGAAACTTATTAGTAAAGCATTTTTAAAAAATACAGCATTTGGAGAGCAGACCTAGTATCTTCCTTCAGTATTGCCATAATTATTTCTATCTAACTACCAAACCTCTTTTGTCTATTGATTAGCTGTGTGAAATTAATTGGCCCCCATTTGCATAGCTGTATTTTAGTTTTTGTGCCACAATTGGTAATAGTTACAACCACAATTCTATAAACTCAGTTAATCAAACATAAAATAAGTTAGTGCTAGATTTATTATGGTCACACCAGCTATCAGTGAAGTTGATGATTGATGAGCATTCCGTACAAAAGAATTGCCTAATTAAAATGAAATTTGTCATTTTTACTCCAGACTTGTGAACGCCTAGAATTCTGGAATTGGTATTTATTGCTTTTTACAGGTTTTAAATGCCAAGAAGGTGGTCACAGCTTTTTATATCTGTACAAGCTTTCTGAACTTTCTCCTCTAGTTTCTTTTTCCTATGTGTTTTGTTTAGAATGAGGTAGCCTAAAATAATCTCTAAATGATTAGTTCTCTTACAATATGTATAGCATTTCCAAATGGTGATTATTAGCATGTGTTTAGCAATTTCAGAGCCTCCACAATTTTTAGCTTTAAGAACTTATATTGATATGTCACATAACTTTCAATAACCTTTGCCACAAAAAAAAAAGTTAGGAAAAGAAAATTTGGAACAAGGAATGACAGAAGACTTCCCTGGAAAATATTGTTCATTAAAAAAAAAAAATTCTTGGGAGGAGGATCAAGATGGCGGACGAGAAACACCGCCAGAAAGAGTGTCTCTGCAGAAAAGACAGATTCTAGCAGAAATTAGAAAAAAGAAGCAAGAAGGCGAGCATACAGCAGACGAGGGCCGGAAGGAGGGGTACCTGAGACCCCGGGAGAATCCACGGGAGGAGGCTGTGGAGGAGAACTGGAAGCTGAGACCGCCGGAGCAGCCCAGAGACCAGCAGGAAGGGTAGGTGGATAAATCACCTTT